TAAAGATTTTATTAATTTAGAAATAGGAATTAAAAGATTTCAAGGAAACATGGAACGATTTCATTTTAATCCAATTCCATTAAATGAATATTCAAGAAAATTATTTCCTAATATTGAAACATTTCATATTTATAATAAATATGATGAAGAATTTGATGATGGAAGAATATTTAAAACAATAATATGGTATAAAGTAGATTATTCAACATATTTTCAAGAGAAAGGAACAGGAAATATATGTAAACATATAGAATATACACAATGTGATAGATATAAATGTGGAAATACAATACCATCGGAAGTTAAATCAATTGGAAATGGTTGTTTTTCAAGATGTTCATCTTTAACATCATTTAATATTCCATCATCAGTTAATAAAATAGGAAATGAATGTTTTTATGGATGTACATCATTAACATCAATTAACATATCAACATCAATTAGTGAATTAGGAAATGAATGTTTTTATCAATGCTCATCATTAAAATCAATTAATATACCACCATCACTTACATCAATAGGATATAAATGTTTTTATCAATGCTCATCATTAAAATCAATTAATATTCCATCAATAATTAATGAAATAAAAAATGAGTGTTTTTCAGATTGTACATCATTAACATCAATTAATATACCATCATCAATTACATCAATAGGAAATGAATGTTTTTATAGATGTATATCATTAACATCAATTAATATACCATCATCAATTACATCAATAGGAAATAGATGGTTTTATGGATGTTTATCATTACAGTCAATTTATATACCAATATCAGTTAATAAAATAAGAGATGAATGTTTTTCAGGATGTTCATCATTAACATCAATTAATATACCTTCATCAATTACATCAATAGGAAATGGATGTTTTATGTTTTGTAGATCATTAACTAATATGAGTATTGAAAATGTAAAATATATAAGTGAAGAAAGAATATTTATAAATGAACCAGTGTTAATTAGTATTTCAATACCAGAACATTTAAAAATGGTAAATGGAAAGAATATTATAAAAGAAGATATTAATAAATTTATGATACCATCAACAATTACATCAATAGGAAATAGATGTTTTTCAGGATGTTCATTATTAAAATCAATTAATATACCAACAACAATTACATCAATAAGGGGTGAATGCTTTATTTATTGTATATCACTAACATCAATTAATATACCATCAACAATAACATCAATTGGAAATTATTGTTTTTATGAATGTTCATCATTAACTTCAATTGACATACCATCATCAATTAAATCATTTGGGAAATCATGTTTCTATGGATGTGGATGTATTGAAAAATTAAAACAAAATAAAACAATATCAATAGAGTGTTTTAATGAATAATAGAATATGAAATTTCAATAATAAAAGAGATTATTAATAAACAAATGAAATGGTTATTACAATAAAATTAATTGAATTAAGTTGAATACATTTATTTATATTTATTGTTTGTATGTTATTTAATTTATTCTATCATTCTATTTCTTCTTTATTTGTGTTATTTTACTCTTTATTATTATATTTTATTCTTATTCTCATTATTAATTAATTATATTGTTATTTTATGTTCATGAAATACATCTTGTTATGTCATGTTTCAT